AATGATGATTCAGACCAGATCGGCGCTTTTTCCTTATTCCTTCATTCATTGTTGACTTTATTCCCCATTGATGAGCTGGCATAATGAAGCTATTCGAAAAATGGAGCTGTCGAAATTTGCTATCAAACTGAATTTAGAAATGGGGTGTATGTATTAGGTTGAGGCATTTGGTAGGAAAGACTGTCCAGATTCAATTTATAAGAAGCTGTTGAGTAGATAGAATGAGTTGTAAGTTTCGTTATCTAAGCCAGCACTCACCATGATTCATCTGACTGACGGTTTAATGGAAACGGTGACCAGCAAGCCATCCTAATACCTGCGCTCCCCACCAAGTGCATCTTAAATTTGATTCATTTTTAAACTTTTTGGTTGAACTCTTAGGGTTATAGGTGAGATCGGGCCGCTAGGAGTGTCCAGGCTGTTTCCGACGTATTCTGGTACCAAATTTCTAAAGCCTAACAACCCTATACAGCGTAGTTCGTAACGAGAGGAATCCGTGCCATTGTTTTGTTCCACGTTCCTCATCGGAACATGCGCTGCGGCGCGGATACAAAAGATTGGAAAACAGCACTAGAAAGGTACTTTTAACGGAAATAGTAGTTGTTCATGGAATATCCTGCAGTCTTAGTTCTAACTGTTCGAAAATCAGCATAATTTGAATAATCAGCATCACACCATACTTTTGAAAGGAAACAGAGGACTGCCAAATTTTTCCGTATTCCTCTCGAAATTTCTCAACTGTTGGGTAGCGATTCTGCATCTGAGGAACTAAGTATGCCGCGCAGTACAACGACAACTAACGTAGACTATATCTACTACAAGCAATCCTTCAATTTCTGAGTCGCTAGAAGTAATGGTTGAGATGGGTAATGGTCAAGGAAATGGGAGTATTTCTTTACTCTGTTAAGTCTTTCCATTCTTTTTTTTAAACGGACGAGCGAACGGTGAGAGTGTCATGTGAACATTCTGGAATGTCGTTATTTATGCGTCGGAGATGTGTTTGTTCGCTGAATGAAGGAATCGATACTTTTTTGAATGAAGTTTACAATAGCTTGACCATGTGACGGGGAAACCTTTTTTTTGAATGAGAAATCCAATATCTTTTTTTCTGAACTAAGTGTAACATAGCATTTCATGAAGGGCGAGTATATACTTTGTTTTTTAAACGAAACGTCCCATGGTGTTGCATGGGCAGCGATGTTGGAATTTTCGATCAAGATAATGATTTGTCAGCGATGAGCGATAGTTGAATGCCAAGGGACTTTGACTTTTTAAATGTACCAGTAACGCTAATCTTATTTAATCCAATTTTCTTCGGCGAATTCATTATAATGCAATTATTACTGGGGAAATTACTAGTAATAATACACAACATTTGTGAAAGTAATCATGAAGCAGGCTGTATTTGAAGAGTTTTTTCGAGGTCTGCTGAGTTTGCGTTAACTCTTCACGAGTTGGTAAACAAGCCGTGTCGGGCTAGGATTGCTCCACTGAAGTTCAAGCAGAGCGATACTGGTTCAACTCGACTGTTTGGTGATTTCGAGGGTTTTAGAACGCCGAATTTCCGAAGACGGCAGTCCTGCCGAAATGCTAGAACAGTAAAGCTTGAATACTAGACTCGTTAAAAGTTCGAGCGAGCATCACCCAACAAAATTCACTCACATATTAGTTCGTAACAAACCAAATGATGGCAATATGAAAAAAAAAATCCCTAACGCGTACTTGGCCATATTTATAATGTACTTATTGTGCCAGTTTTTCAGTAAAAAAAGTTAAAACAGACTGATTTGAAGGGACAGAGAAAGCGCTGAATGAATGACACCCTGGTTATAATTTATCCGATCAATATTCAAGAACAACCTATGCAGGAATCAGATAAGCTCATCACGAACGAATTTCTTCTTGCTGTAAAGAGCATCTGGTTCGCTCTGGCCTTGCTGCTTTTTTATCCGTTCGGTTTCATGGCGCAAGTCATAAATTTCCGTTTAACGGGCTCCTCGATGTTAAGCCGCCAATCACAAAGAACCATAACGTTCTCATGGAGTTTAAGGGTAAAACCTCGGCTTGCACGGATATCAAACATTTGCTATGAGCTTTCTGCCTGTTCTCAGTATAACACAACGGTGGAAGGGAAAAAGCAACAACCGAAGAGTCGATGAGCGTGGTCAATCGAAGTTCAGCAAGAGGTAAACAGTAAGAAACGGACGAGTAATGAGCTAGCTCGGCCTACCTGAATCAGTTGTCAATCTTTCAGCAGAGGTTTTCCTAGTCTGAAAGGTGCTGCAATGTGTTCAGCCGAGTGATTTTCATCTTCTAATCGTGATCCTGCGCAATATCAAACGATGGCTGGCGCCAGCATTAGCGTGGGCTCAAGACGCTGACGTCAGCGTCGACATTTGTACTATAAATGGAGCCGATCTCGCTTCCTCCTTATATTTGTTGAAGTCTCACGAAAAAACATAGTTCTCATTGTCAGTTGTTTCGTGTCATTGCTAAGTAGCGCTTCTATTCGTGCACCGTTTCAGGATGACTATGTCACATTTTGTCGATTTTTCCAGATTTACCAGTTCCTGAACAGCACGACGCCATGTTTCGAACGATTCAATCGATTGTTAATGCTCCTCAGAAGGTACCAGTCTTGATTGGAGATTTTATTCTGTTCTTATTGCTTCCAGTTTAAGGTATTATATTTGTCTGCGCGCACATTAATGCTACAAGAACATCATGGAATGGCAATTCTTCAGAAAGAAAACATCAACGTGAGTTCACTCCCATTCAGCCTCCATTTTAACTCTCTAATTGTGTACATGTGATCTGAAATTTCTTAAAGTTTTCATTTTTCAAAACAACGATGTTTGTTGGCATGAGTCGCCTTTTCATTTTGAGAACAGTTTGCGGAATCGTTAGAGCTTAGGAGCTTCGCAGATGCTAGGAAGAGATCATTTCGAGGGGAAGCCAAATATATCCCTGTTAGGGAACTTCAGACGTTATAGTAAACGCCTATAAAGAAATGCTGTACTTATATTTGTGTCGTGAAATCATCATACGATCTGATTCCTGTTAGTCTAAGCGAGAACCGCGATAGAATTGTGCTGTTAATATCATACTGTATGCTTTTTCATTGTTTGTTAACCTTACCTTTTTGCCACAGTGCGCGACACAATAGCG